CATATACATATATAAATACATATATACACATACACATACACATACACATACACATACATATACATACATATACATACATACACATACATACACATACATACACATACATATACATATACATATACATATACATATACATATACATACATATATATATATATATATATATATATATATATATATATATATATATATATATATATGAGAGAGAAAAGAAACAGAAGGCCCTCAACGTTTTGCAAGGCAAGTAAGGTTATTCTATCAGCAAACAGAGTGTGCCTACTAACATGTAGCAAGGAGATAAATTTCTTGAACCAAAACTTTTCATGAAAATTAGAAGCACGACATTCCCAAACTATTCAGAAGTACTTTTACTTCTCCAATTCTGGAACGAAGCAACAGAGATGAAAGACAAGGATTACGATGAAATAAGCAGATGAAAACGTAGGAGAATCTTAATTTTCATATTGCAATTGCTAGGTCAATGCACCTTGATGGAGAATGAAGATGTGGCTTCAAGAACATCAAAAGATAAGGCCGTACCTAACTTTTCAATCTTAAATTAGCAAAAGATCTGATATGATGAACGGCAACTATGTGAATTTGCATATGATGGCATTACCAAGTCCTGAAGAACAAGCGGTCTAGGCATTGTTGCGTGGGTTTTCAGACTTTTCCTCATCCTTTGGCAATGGATTTCTGCCTACTAGATACGATTATGTAAACCCACAAGAATGAAACCCGATACAAGAAATCAAGAGGACAGAAACAAAAGATCCCCCGTGTCTTTTAAGACAAGTAAACGAGAGATCCCACTGATCCGCTGCTAAAGAAGAGCAATTCTTGAACCAAAAGTGTTCAAGAAAACAAGAAACAAGACATCCCTAAAACATTCGGACACACACAGTGTATCTAATCCTCCAATTCGACAGCTAGAATTGCGAATCAGGCCACGAAGACGACATCACCAAGAAAGACGATGGAAAGAAGCAAATGAGAAGCAAAGGAAATTACCGCCGTTGTGGGGGAAGGAGGGAGATGCGACAACCAGAGTGGACTAAGGGGGAAGGGCGTCGTTGGCGGCTGGCTAGGGGGCGGGCGGGGATGAAGCCCCTCGGGCGGCCGCTGCCACGGTGTTGAAAAGAAGGGGGGAGATACGGAGATGTGGCCGTCGTCGTCGCCGCCGCCGCCGCCGCGGATAGAGGAGAGGAAGCCATGGCTCGCTTCTGCCCTGCACCCCTCGATTCTTGGACTGCGTCACGTTATATTTTGCGGTCTGGCAATCGGTCAAAGAAAAAAAATCATGGGTCGAGCTGTGGAGAATGGTTGAGGGCGAGAAGGCACTCTTTACCCTGAGGTATTGTTTTATCCAACCCGCTTATAGTTTCTTTGCGTCGGCTACCTGCCTCTCAATTGGTTAATACTGCGGGCCCCCTGGTGAGTCCCAAAGGTCCCGCTCTATTTCGATTAAGTCAAGCAATTAGGTTTTATTCTCTTTGAGACGGATTAGCTTTTAGGATTGAGCCCGGGCCTTCAAGCCATGCTTGTAGTGGGTCTTAGACTGGGCTTGGCTCAATACCGAGCTATCTTCTCGTGCAAGTCTCCATTTGGACCGCCGCTGCCGTAGACTGGAGAGGCATAAGAACTGGGGACCGGAGGGGAGAAGGGACGAGCCTCCAAAGCTCCACTCTCTCTCCTCCGCAGCCACGCCGTTGATTCCTCCTCCTTTCTTTCTTCTTCGTTTGACACGGATCGGTCGATCGGATTCGTATGCTGGATGGGAAGGAGGATAATGGAGTGGGCGGGGCGGGCGGAGCACCTGGGTGGGATCCCGCGGGCGCTTGTGGTCTTGGCGGTGGGAGCCTTCGCCAAGACCGTCACCTCCTGCCTCAACTCCACCTCTGTCCACAACCCCCAAGCCCTCCTCCACCTTGTCAAGTCCCGCCCACCTGGCGTTCCCCTCCTCACCGTCAGCAACCACATGTCAACGTGAGTCTCTTTCCCTCCCATGAATCGAAAGCAGGATCTTGTTGTTATTTTGTTGGTATCCTCATAAAAGCTTCATCGCTTGTTTCTTTCACAAAGTCTTATAGACGGTGCACGGTGTTTTGGTTCCTCCGTCGCTTGATAGCCCGTCAGGATAGTTAACTTCGAACTTTATCCCTTAGTCAACCAATCTTGGATTACGAATCCGATCTCTATGGAAAAAACAATTCACCAGCTTATTCAAGGAAAAAATTGAGAGTTAGGAAGTTGATTCAATGATTCTTGAATGTTTGGAGATGTTATGCGCTTTCAAGTTTATTGTTATCTTGGAATAAGTTTAAATTGATTTGAGCGGTTGGTAAACTGTTCAACCTTTTCTCAGGAACTAATTTTGGTAGGTTTATCCAAGAAGAGGCCCAGTTAGTCTGGAACTAAAGGTGGGATTAGCATGTGGAATCTTGATTCTTGGTGACACATTGGGGGTTAGTCTAGGCTGATGCTCTTGAGTTGCTCGGAAAACCTAGGCCATTTGAAGTCTTCCCTTGAATCTTCGAGCATATCAGATAATGTAAATTTCTGTGCTTAGATGAATTAGAAGTAGCATTTACTTCATTGTAGCACATTAAATATATGGCAGAGGATGGGAAGAAGAAAAACTAGATTGAGGAAGGAAATGGTTATCCATTTATTTTGTCTCTGTCAATACCAGCAAAACTTTGCCTTAATAGCTGTGTGGTATTGTACAAGTTTAAACCATTACTAGTGACATGACTTCTGATACAAAATTTCATTACGTAAGATGATCTAGTCTGTAAACTTTAGCACTGAACTGCCTCAAAAAATACCAAGTGCAATTTTTAATTATTTCAAGATTACTTGTGCTACATTTTAACAATGTAGTGTAACAAACTGATCTTAGTTTTTCTTTTGTCCCTTGGGCTCTTTGTTCGGATTAACATTTATGACTGCAAGGCCTTGTTAGCAGCTTAGATGTTCTCTCCAAATTCAGTGATAACTCCTGACTTAGCCAAGCAGACAATATTAGTGAATGGATCCTGTTATTATGAGTACCTAAGCTAGGAATTTGAGATTTAACAGACAGATATCTTGCAGTAGAAACATTGTGAATGGTTTCAATATATTATGATATTTCTCTGCATGTATCGTTGTAATGTCGTTGTATTAGTCTACTTATTTATTTTGGGCATTGTTATGTTCAATATATGAGCACTGTTTCTGTTTGTCTTGTCTTTATACTCTGCAGTAAATAGATTGCCTAGTTTTGCATTGTAAAACAGGTTGGATGACCCTCTTATGTGGGGGTTTAAGGGATTTCCATCTATGGATGCAAAATTTGCAAGGTGGGTTCTGGCGGCAGAGGACATATGCTTCAAAAATAAACTGTTTTCCTACATATTTCGACTTGGTAAGATTGCTCGCCCTCAGACTGATACTCAGATTTTAAGTTGCTTGTGCATCAAGTTTCTTCTATTCAGTTAGTACTATATGAGTGTCATTCTTTTGTTTTATGTGTGTTGTTGTTTGTAAAATTCTAAGGTTTCTTTAGTTGGATATATTGCCTTTGAAGAGCAAGTAAGAAACTAGTGGCACCTCCTATTGACTCATAAGTAAAATCTTCGTGCTGTTCCATGTAACAACAATAGGGTCTTGGACATTGCAGACTTTGAAGTACCAGCCAACTGGAGAATACGGGTTGCATGAACTAGTCAGCGGTTAAGAATCAAGAAATTGATACTGATTGCAATCTAGTTTACTTGACTGATAACCCTGAACTTCTGCTGAATATTTGTATAACCTTGTTCTTTTTAAATTATACAATTAATTATGTTCTTAGTTGCTGGAGCAAAATGTTAATGATGCGATCATGATTATATGATCAGTTACTTCCAAACAGTCTTGGTTGGATCTTGTTCAGAGAATGAACATACACGTACACTGTTCCCAACTACACAACATTCTCTACCTTTCAATAGAATTAAAAAAAATAAATAAATGATATGATGGATGACAGTGCTCTCAAGATAACTAAATGGCAGGAAACAACTTATCTACGCAAAGCAGACAGACGGAGAGGAACAGCCGTGATCTTTAAAAAAACATTCAACAATATGTGTTGTAATATAAGTAATTACAAACTTATGAAGCATAGGTTTTGTTTGACTGATCATACATCTTTTGAATATCGGCCTGCTTTTCATTTCTGGTTTTTGTACATTATCTATTTTCTTTAGATTTTGTTGTTATTGTTTAAATGTGGAACTACCAAGTACAATCCTTGCATGTCTGTGCAATTTGTTGAAGACAGGTTTGATTATGTCTTTCAATTATTGTGCATCATTTACTTTTTTTGATGTTTTTATTGAAAAAATATCTGAATTGTCTGGTTATTTTCTATTTTTAAAAGGATTTTAAATTATCTGACAGTCTATCAATTTGTCTAGTGACAAAAATATTCTTTTGTCAAACATTAAATTTTGATCGACTCCTTACTGGTTTAAATGGACTGCATACAGCCCTTCAATTATTGTATGCAGCCATATTATTGGCTGATTCTCCATCATGTTTCTCTTAAGAGATTAAGTTTACAGGAAAATGCATACCAATAATCAGGGGTGGTGGAATATATCAAGAACATATGAATGAAGCTCTTGAAGTGTTAAATCATGGAGGCTGGGTATTGTTTTTGTTGCTTTGTGATTTTTTGCTATCGTTATCTAGTTGATGTTGTTTTTCTTTTCTGAGGAAATAAATGGTTGAATTATCATGGAGTTCATCATTATGTTTAAACAGTTGCATACATTTCCAGAAGGAAAGGTGTGTCAAGATAAAGCTCCCATAAGGCGTCTAAAGTGGGGAACAGCCAGTCTCATTGTACGTGCACCCATCACGCCTATAGTCTTGCCAATCATCCACTCTGGTTTTGAAAAGGTTTTTTTCCGTAACCTTTTTATGTCTGAGTTACCATATTAAACTCTTTGGATCCAATTGGAACCTGATATTCTTTAGACTACCACACTTGTACAACTACAAACTATACCTTTGTATTGGTCTGTTTGCTATATATTTTGTTTTCATCTTAAACCTCATTCTCATCCTGGCTCCAAGTCAATGATGAGAACATTTTACTCTTTTGATGTTGTTCAAGTCATCTTATCAAACTTACAGGTCATGCCAGAGAAATCATTTTTTGGAAGGAGGCCACCGTTGCCTCTTTGCAATAAAGAAATCCGAATTGTAATTGGTGAACCAATTGAGTTTGACCTTCCAAGCTTAAAGCAGGAAGCCATTGCTGCCACTCAAGATGGATGTCTCCAGACTTTAGGATGGCCAAAGACTTTCCCTGATGGACTTGGTGAGGCTGCACAGAGATGGATTTACACTAACATATCTGATCGGCTTCGATCAGTGATGGAAAGTTTACGAATTTTCACTTCCGATAAATTCAACCTGTGAATTTTTTTACAATATTTGAGATTAGAACTTTATTGAATTCAAATTACGAACTTTATTGAATTTTCAATGTAACAGATATTCGCATCAGTTTGCTGTTGGTTCATTTGTGTCCATTGTTATCAGAATATGGATTCAAGCTTCTTACAAATTCAATTAATACTTTGCCGCCCCTACGATTCACTCAGCGAATCGGCATATGTCTAGTCATCTGCTACATGTTTTGCTATATTTATGTTTTATAATTGGGCTGACGTAATTATTTTCTATGGATAAAATCACTTATATTGCATTTGGGTTGTTCATTGGGATAGGATTCAGAATTATCATGAAATTGGAATTGGAATGATCAATTCATGTGCTCTCAAATTATCATTCATGATTTGTTTCTGTATGATATTATTTTTATATTTATGTTTTTGATTATGTCATTTTGGTTTAGTATTAATTTAAGCACATATTATTCTTTTATCAAGAGGGAAAGCGGAGGGACTTTAAAATCAAATGAATAATATCTTTGGAAACAAAATATATTCTGATGAGTGGTTGATGAGATTTGGCTCTTAGGATGATCCAACTCCGTCCTGTAATTTAATTGGAATGGGAATGAGGTTAAGTATATTCGAACGAGTGAAGTTAATATTGCAATTACGACTGAAATTAAAAGAGAAAAGAAACTCGATACATGATTTTATTATAGAAAAGAGAATTTATTCTCTTATACATGGAAAGATCGCCCTCTAACATCGTTAAAAGCTTACGATGGGATGATTCACTGAAACATAAATTCTACTCGACATTTAAGAGTGGGCTTCACAACTCAACACAAACATTTAAGAGTGGGCTAATGCCATGACATTCTCGGAGCAAGACGTCAGGTACTTTCCACGCAAAGTGACACGTCTGTTGGTGGGCTAATAATACCCACCAACTGCTGTAGAACTGCAGGAAACTTCTTAGACGCTTGCACATTACTACATGCACGTTCGTGTGTCGAAAGCATGAGGAGACTCACAATGCGTGATGTATTGGCTTGCAATTTGCTGTTTACACAGCTGTGATTGTTGCACCGATGATGTGGTTGACAGAGAAGATGTCATTTCACCGGAGAAGGTAATTCTGCGTTCGCATGCTTCGTACTACTTCCATGTTGGTTCTTTTGGCTCTGCCTATCAGGAAACGTAGTGACCAACGCAGCTTCATGATGTCTACTCTCGTTCGGTTGTTTGTCTTAAAAGGGTGTTATCTTTTTCTGATCTAACATCACATCCATCTACATGACGCCAGTCCTTCTGGGAGGAAAGAGAGAAGAAAAAGTGAAAGGGAGAGTACCATCTCGGTAGGTGTCGGTCATCGTTGGAGCGGTGCTCTCTTTGCTAAGGAGCGTTGGGTAATTAAGAGAGGTGTGAGCTGGGTTCACCCAGTTCTTCTGTGTCGCCATCGAGCAGCAGTCAGAGAAAGCGGAGGCCCATCATTATTATTAGTTTTGTGTCGGCTTGGAGTTTAGCAACGTGTGTCTTTTCCTTAATCAGATTAGGATCATTTACTTTTAAAAGCTCAACTAATTGATTTTCACTAAATCAATCTTTGATCCTTCTTCTCAAATTTTTTTCTTCTCTTTTTTTTTTTTCTTTCGTCCTATTTTTTTAAAAATAAGATGACGATAATAAATCTATAATAGAGAAAAAAAGATTTTCTTCATCTTACTCCTCCTCCTCGACATATTTCTTCTTCTTTTAAAAATAAGAGACGATATATAAATCTAAGATGGAGGAAAATAATAATAATAATAATAATAATAATAATAATAATAATAAATATCTACGAGAAAAGGTTGAATCGAGCTAAAATAATAATTTTTCAATAGAGAAATGTCATCCAATGAAAATTACCAGAGATATCTTTTATGCATGTGAACCCCACACACAAAAAAGAAGGTGCTCTCCTTACTGATAGATTACTCTGATGCTGAAATTATTTATGTAAGTAGCTTAAATGATGTCTCCTCTTGTACTGACACTGCAGCTGCATCAGACCTTTTTCTCTCAACCATTTTCTCGTCGCTCAGTGGGATTCCACATGTGGTCTGTCTCTTCTCCGAAGCGGAATATCCATGGCAGAGGAAGAGACTAACGATACATGGTGACTCTCAACAAGAGATGGGACCTCTCTCTCTCTCTCTCTCTCTCTCTCTCTCTCTTCTATCACTCGGAGAGAGTAAAAACTAGATTCATGCAGGAATGATGAGGCAGCTGAATTGAGACATCCACAAGCTGGTTGGGCGAGTGAAGTCGGTCATGGGCAGACAATGATGAAATGCTATGGATTTTTCGTTGTCGTGTAAGCTTGATTTAGACACAGCACGGCGGTCGTCCACGTCGTTGGACGTGCACAATTAATTATCTTACCATTATTGCTCTCTCTCTGTGTAGTACAATTATTAGACGAGCTATGCCTTTCACACCAGCACTTGTGTTGATTGTGCTAATCGCTCGCAGCAGGAGAAAAGCATTGGGCCGACAAACCTCTCCAAATTAATCATCAGTCTGAGTTGATTCAGCTTCATCAATATCGATATACAAATAATATATCAAAAAATCGATGCACGATTAATATAGTTTAGCAATTCCCTGCTCGTATCCACTGATTTCATACTTGAGTTATTCTCATTTAGACGTAAAATCTGTATATATTCTTTTACATAAACTCTAAAAAAATTATATATTTGCTTTATCATCTTTAGGAAACAGAGAGAGAGTCAATTCTCTTGACATCATAGAGAAAAACTCACAAATACCTAAATTATATTCATTTTGCTACTTAAGTCAAATTGATTTATGATACCAAAATTAATCATCGATTCGTGATAATATTTTCAGATGCTAAACTATACGTTGTCGGCGGCAGATACTAAAAATATCTTTAGAGTAATCAGAAACATTTACGATACAAAAATATATCAAAAAATATTACATAATACGATAGATTTAGCTTATTGAGCTCAGAAATCTAATACTATGAACTCAGAAATCTTTTTAGCTCTTTTTTTTTGTGAGAATAAAAACAAACTACATGTTGGATGATAATGATCGATGGTGGATCCAATGCCTTACTTTAAGTTACCATTAGCGTTAATCTTCCGTGCAAACAAGCATTAGATGTTCTTTCGTTTTCTTATTGCTGTTGGATGAGAAGGACTAATGTTGTTGTCGATTTAGGTTTGCCAACTTATAGTTTACAAGCTTAGCTTAATCTCCTCGTAAGTAAAAAACATGGCATAAATATCTGCAGTGATCTCTGCTTCCAAAAGTCTCGAAATATGTCTGGAAATATTTCAACGCCATAAACGATTCGGCAAATTAAGTTCACCACAAATCCACAATTATAATTGCATATAAATATGCGATCAAAACCCAAAATTGTTAGTAGGGATGAAGTAAGCAGGGCTAATTACACAAAAAAAGAAAAAAAAAGGGGAATTAATCCACTTATAATATTTGTATGCTGTGTTATCATATATTTTTAATAATATAAGAAACATATTATAACACAATACAAAAATATAATATCATAATATTTCTTATATTATATTATAATTTTTGATATTATTAAAATACTGTAGTGTAGTGTAAAAACTACACATAATTTTCATAATGTGTACAAAAAAAATCATATTTTTATATTATATTATAATATTTTTTGATATTATTAAATATATTATAATATAATATAAAAAATATTATAATAATTAGATGGAGTAAGTGTAACAATTGATCGTAAAATCTTGGATTTGAATCATTTATTTTTATAAAAAATGATTAAGAAATTATGAAAATAAGGATATTTCTCGGAAAAAAAAACACATTTTCGACCTAATTTTGCTGGATTTGTGCCAACAATTGTTTAAATTGAATCTGATGTGTCGTATCCGCATTGGCCGAGTCCACCTGCTGACGTGGTAGACCCAGACTGACTACATTTGAAAACCAAGTCTCCCATCTCTCTCTCCTTTTTTGTAATTCTCAAAATAATGATATAATAATAATAATAATCATAAATGTGGTTTTGACGAACGAAAGCGACGTTGCCTTCCGCTCGCTCCTTCTTTCTCCCTCAGTCTGTGTGATTTCTTTAATCCTCGTGACTCCCGACGGCTTCCTTTGGCCGCCTTCAATCCCATTCGCCCTTTTAATGCGTCAGGAGTAGATCTCGTCACGGGGGACAAGAGGGAGAGGGAAAGAAGGAGGGAAGCCGGCAGCGGCAGCAAGAAGAAGCAGATGACGATGAGCGGAGCAAGATAGGGGCTTCGAGTTCTTTATTTGGCTTGCTCGCTCGGCGTCTTGGTGGCCCGTCGGACTTCGTGCTACCCACATTCCTCAGATTTCTCGGTTTTGTTCCCTAAGGTAAAGTCTCTTGCTGCCCGATCCCTCATTTTGGTCTTCTCAGTTCACATCGTCGGATTTCCATTCCCCGAAAGTACCCGATCCGAAGCTTTCAAGTCACAGTTCTTCGATTGCTTCGCTTCGTGGTATCATTTCCGTCCGCGGAGCGCGTACTGTGGCAAATAGCTCAGAGTTTGCTGCTGTCTAAATGCGTTCACTAGTTTAGAGGCGTTTTACCCTCTGTAGTCTTGGAGTATTGTTGTGTTGCTTTCTCTTAGCATATAAAGGATCTCCTTTACGGGCATAATCTGAACAAAAAAAAAAAAGGTTTTGCTGACTTTCTGTCGTGTGCCGGTAAGGCCCATCATTTTTCCCGACAATATTTTCATGGTGGCTTTCTTGATGTAGAAGTGAAGATACGACATAAGTTGTTTATGAATCTACCAGGGTCTCTGTGAAGATCACTTTTGCTGGTCGGGATGGTGAATGTATCATGACTTTTTTTTATGTTCTATCAATCCTCACATCGGTTCCAAGATTTACAAAGATGAGGGCTGCAACGAGCATCAGGTGCAACGCCCCAGGAGGAAGTGCGAGGAAAGGCTGTTGCTTTTGATCCGCGGAATGACTATTGACAATCCACCAATGACAGCACAAGTTACCAGGGCAAGCCAATCTTCCTTTAGCTCCGGCAATGGAAATGTAACACCTTTGCACAATTCTGCTGCCAGCGT